TCAAGGGATGTGTTATTCCTGGTGGATGGACACATTTTTGTTTTTTTCCTTCCACTTAACTTTCTCCCCATGTGCTTGATATGTCCCTCTGTGGACTGACAGCTTCTTTATCAACACATTTTAAGGGCATCAGTATAAGCATAAGTAACTTGACTTTGTAGGTCTATGCAACAACATGCATGCTCGTGCACATTAATGCTGTCAGGTCATGCCAGAAATTAAAAAAAGGAAAACTTACTCTTTTAAGAATTGTTATTATTTTCCAGGTTCAACAGCACAGAACAAAAACTGCAACTGCATCCTCAAATCTACTAAGACCTTCATTTTCTCATCAGTCTGCATCCACTTTAGCTGTTAAATGTCAGAACGTCGGTCCAAATTCTCACCTTTTTCAATGAAATCCATAACAGCGAATGAGTTGCAGTTGGAAGTTCTGCAGGTTCCTCCATCCAGCCCAGATGTTTGCAGATTGCAGGACTCATCATTCTGAATCAGTGAATTATCTCCCTCGCTCACTCTTTTCGATTTGTTTTTATTCTTCTTAGAAGACATTATCAATGAGGATTCTCCACGTGAAACTTAAAACATGTGTAAACATGAAGCGGAGCAGTAAACTTCCTGGTTTAAGATAAGCCCCGCCTCCTTTTACTGTAATACCCCTACAATGAAGCGCCATGCTTTTTTTTTTTTTTTATCTAATGTGCGGAGCTTTTAAATGTAATATTAATAAAGTTTCTTATTGAAAAATTTCGTTTATAAAAAGAAATAAAATAAAAATAAAAAATACGTATCTCGTGAAATTGTTGAAAAAATTCGACGTAATCGCATTAAAAAGAAAACAAATAAACGTTGTTGAGGTTTTTGGAAACATTTTTAACCTAACGGCTTAAATTGTATCACCTGCAGTTCCATTTTCCATACTTTCCTGTTTATTTATTGTTAGCTTCTGCTTACTCAGGATTTCGGTTCATAAACATAACATTACGTCACGTTGATATATTCAAAAGCCAAATTTTAAAACATTACATTGAAAATATTTGAGAGCAAATTTGGTGAATAATAATGGCGACAATTGGCGTTAGGGTCACACAAGTAAACATTCCTACAATTTAGCCGACGCTACTTCTTCTTGCGCATTTGAACTGGTCATTACGGTATTTACACAATATTGCGTCTGAGTGTTTATGTAACTGTACTGAACCTGATGCTAACATGCCGGTGTTGAAGTGAAGACGTCCAGCTTTTAAAATAACCCTTCTTTAGGTTGTGTTTAAGATGGCGGCCTGTGCCTTGCTGTCCAGACTCTCCCCGCTGCTCAGAGAGCGGCTCGGCTGCAGAGTTCGGTCGTTTTCCTGCGCGGTTCCCTGCTCCCAGCTGCACAGAGCGGAGGGAGCCGCTGGTCTGACCGGCAAAGTGGACCGGTTCGGTGGAGTGACGGTGAACCTGGCAGAGACAGGACTACCAGCGGACATAAGCGAGCATGCATTCAGCAGATTGCTGCAAGGTTTGTTGTCCTGATTCAGTAATTGATGTCTTATTACAAATCTGCAACATGAACACAAGCACTACACCACTTCCGTGCTTTAAAGTGTGGGGAAATGTTTATTATTGAATCCTGAATGCACTGGGAACAAAGTGTCCCTACAAAGCAAGATAATAATAACATAGTTTTATATTTCTAGTCCTTAAAAAACAATTTCTTTCATCTGTTTTTGACATTTAATCAAATCAATTAGAATTATATGGGTTTCAAATAAGCCAGGCTGTTTATCTGTAGATGTAAGGAACAAGAGGATGGACACAAGAAGACACAACCAAAGGAAACATTTTGCAAGTTTATTTTCTTAAAGAAATAAAGGCCGTAACCGGAGGATGGCTTTGGGGTCCAGAATCTGTGAAGGAGCTCAGATGAACCCTGAGTGAAGGTGAGGGAGAAGAACAAGGGACAAAGTCAAAGAGACTTATAGGGGTCGTAGAATACAAAACCAAGTTTACACTGTCATACATGAATAAAGACACACTACTCAAAAAAATAATGTAACACTTTGTAATCAGAGTATAGCATCAAGTTAATTAAACTTTTGGGATATTGATTTGGTCAGGTAAGTAGCAGAGGGGGTTGTTAATCAGTTTCAGCTGCTTTGGTGTTAATGAAATTAATAACAGGTGCACTAGAGTGGCAACAACGAGACGACCATCAAAACAGGAATGGTTTTACAGGTGGAGGATACTCACATTTTTTCCCCCTCCTCATCTTTTCTGACTCTTTTTCACCAGTTTTGCATTTGGCTAGGGTCACTGTCCCTACTGTTAGCATGAGGCGCTACCTGGACCCTACAGAGGTTGCACAGGCAGTCCAGCTCCTCCAGGATGGCACATCAATACGTGCCATTGCCAGAAGGTTTGCTGTGTCTCCCAGCACAATCTCCAGAGCATGGAGATTGTGCCGGGAGACACAGTTACAGTGTCCAGGAGACAGGCAGTTACTCCAGGAGAGCTGGACAGGACCGTAGAAGGTTTCCAACCCATCAGCAGGACCGGTATCTGCTCCTTTGTGCAAGGAGGAGCAGGAGGAGCACTGCCAGAGCCCTACAAAATGACCTCCAGCAGGCCACTGGTGTGAATGGCTCTGACCAAACAATGAGAAACAGACTTCATGAGTCAGGGCTGAGGGCCCGACGTCCTCTAGTGGGCCCTGTGCTCACTGCCCGGCACCGTGGAGCTCGATTGGCATTTGCCACAGAACACCAGAATTGGCAAGTCCGCCACAGGCGCCCTGTGCTTTTCACAGGTGAGAGCAGGTTCACCCTGAGCACATGTGACAGATGTGAAAGCGTCTGTAACATCATTCAGCATCACCCGTTTGGTGGTGGGTCAGTGATGGTCTGGGGAGGCATATCCATGGAGGGACGCACAGACCTATACAGTCTAGACAAAGGCACCCTGACTGCCATTAGGTATCGGGATGAAATCCTTGCACCCATTGTCAGACCCTATGCTGGTGCAGTGGGTCCTGGGTTCCTCCTGTAAACTCAATGTGACGAGAGACTGTGGCTCAACTCATGTGGCGAGAGAATGCAGGCAGTTCCTGGAGGATGAAGGAATTGATACCATTGATTGGCCCCCACGCTCGCCTGACCTAAATCCAATAGAACACCTCTGGGACATTATGTTTCGATCTATCCAACACTGCCGGGTTGCACCTCAGACTGTCTAGGAGCTCAGTGATGCCCTGGTCCAGATCTGGGAGGAGATACCCCAGGACGCCATCTGTCCTCTCATTAGGAGCATGCCCCGACGATGTCAGGCATGCATACCACGAATGTGGGGGCCATACAAATTACTGAATACCATTTTGAGGTGCTGCAATCAAATTTCAGTGGTATGATGTGTTGACGGCTGGGCCGCTGTCTGGACCGGACCTCAGCAGAGAGCCATGAGCCGCCCATCCTCAACTGGAGGAGGGGGGCTGGGGACCGGTGAATTCGGATAAATTATAAATGCTTTTATAATTATTTTATAATTGTNAATTATAAATGCTTTTATAATTATTTTATAATTGTAAATGCTCCCCAGGAGGATGGGTAAAGTCGGATAAATTATCCAGGACTTTATAGATTATGCGAGGTGGTGTTCTTTTACAGGGTTCCCGCGGGTCCTTAAAAAGTCTTAAAAGGCATTGAATTCTTCAAAATAAACTTAAGGCCTTAATTGGTATTAAAATCATTCTTTCGTAGGTCTTAATTTTTAAAACATCATAAATAGGATTATTTTTATTATGATTTATTTTTGTAATCTTAATAAAATATAAAAATTGACAAATTTTTTTTGTTTAAAAAAAATAATGGCTCGCTATTATTGGTTCCGTCCGGATAGCGGAACCAATAAAAACGTTGTTGCGGCCAGGTCATTTGGGAGATGCGCCATTAACTTTTTGTCTGGAAAATATGAGCAAGTGTAAATGTAACCAAAATTGTCTATCCAGCCAAGAGTTTTCTGCGTGGCTAAAACCAGGGAACATACATGAGGCACAGTGTATTTTGTGCAAGAAGCGATTCAAGCTCGGAACGATGGGAATTAAGGCAGTGGAGTTGCACATGCAAAACACAAAACACAAAGCGTCAAAATGGAGTTACCGAGAAACAGCCGGTATTTCTCAGTTTTGTTCCACCCTTGTCTCTGCAACGCATCCAATTATCACCAAATCAAACATACTAAGAAAACGATACAAAGAAAAATAGCTGAAAAAGAGTTAGCACTGGTTATGTTGTGGCTTTAAAACTTATTTGTTTTGTTCCCTGCTAAAACAAAGTTTGTGAATTCAGTTAAATAATTGTTAATATAGATCTGTCATTTGTGTGTTTTTAGCTTTCTTCATGTATGGGAAGCTTTTCAAAATGTGAAACATTAGTGCAGTGGTTTATGTTAAAATAAACCTTTGGGTTAAGTCGTCGCAAGCAGGATTTTCTTGTGTTTCTTGTGAATTTGGTCTTAAATTTTTATTTCAAGTGGCAGTAAAAAGTCTTAAAAAGTCTTGAATTTAACTTGCCTTATGCTGTAGGAACCCTGTTTTAATGCGAAGGAGAGCATGCAGGCAATACAATAATTTGTGCATCATGTGTGGATTAGGACTACTGCAATTGCACAGACAACAAGAGAGGGGGGTGTGGGGAGGAGGTTGCTTGTGAAACCTGTGCGTATCTGTCCAAAGCGATGCTCTGTTCCAGGCGACTGGTTGTCAGAGAGTGCGGTCATTGGATTAGTCAGAAAAGTAAGCCAATAAGTTTTGCTTTAGTCTATTACAGTCACCTTGTTTCACTCAAAGCTTAGCATCCTGTGCATCCTCCAGTAAAAAACAAAAATATAAGACTCATTTTACAGCAGAATATTGCTGCGCTGTAGGCGACCAAAACCTGGACGATTTTGAAATTCCCCCCGGACATTTTTTAGGTATAAAAAGTAGGACATGTCCGGGAAAAAGAGGACGGCTGGTCACCCTACCAAATCAATTTGATGTTTCAGTTAGTGAGTGCTTGTTGCTATGATGCGTCTTTACTCAGCAGCTTCGCTCGTTGTAATAGCATCAATTTACAACCAGAAATCTCAGCTAAATTTACATCAGAAATCCATTACATCCCCAGTCTGACCCTAACTGAACCCATAGAATCAGCTAAAAATGTCTCATTACGGTAATTCAATTTTATTGATGGCAGTTTTTCCACCCAATACATCTTTGCTAGCTGAACCAAATCCACATTTAACTGTAGGTTGTGATTTTATTGAGTCTGTTCAACACATTTTTTTTTTTACTTTTCAAGGGAAGTTAATGCATACACCAAATTTGAATATGTTTGGTTGGTTCAGCTTAATAGAATCTAATTCTGTTGACCCTTCTTTGGATCAAGTTATGTTCAAATAACTTATAGCATCTAAAATAAACCAATGACAAATAAATTGTTTGATCAATTCAATGGTATTAACTTAAAGAGCAGACACACTTTTTGTTTACAAACATGTCATATGCCTAGCCTGTTGGATAAAGTCAGTGAATATGCAGCAATCCCTTTGCCCAAGGATAGGTCAGTTGAGAAGAACTGCTCCCGTTCTAAAAAAAAAGTTAAATAGCCATCCCCATTGATTTTTGGTCCCCAAACCAATCTCACTTGGTCAGCCAGACCAACAATTGCCCCTAACAACTCCCCTTTCAGATGCATAGACCAGTATTGGGTATTGCAGGCTGACAACAACCTCAACGACCCCCTTTCTTAAGGGGTGTACCTGTTTTTCAGGTTCAATTTGCGTTTTTTTCTAAGCCAAAACAACACTTCGTTTGGGCAATTCTATAAATTCGGACTCAACAGTAATGCAGACATTTTGAATTGAAAAAGCTTCCTGGGTGGAAGCAAAACGTCTTCATTTTGGAAACAAAGTCCAGTTGATGGTTGTTTTTTTTTACTTTTTTGGAATCACTATGACCTGGATGACTAAGAATCTTCACCAGCAAACTGCTCCCTTTCTAATCATCTGCAGGAACATGCTGGGGGATGAGAGGACAGTTAGCCCCCTTTACTTTGATACCCCTGAATAAAAGTAAGTAAGAATAGTCCATCAAAGTGAAATAGATTATTTTTCTACTAAGGCCTCAGATGTTTTTTAGACAAAATAATGCACAACATGCATCGTTAAGACCATAGCAGGTTACAAAATGGGATACATTTTAAGCTGTTTGATATTTCTGGCATTAAAAGGTCATTTTAGTTTGAATCCATGATGATGAGCTTGTGGGTTTCTTGGTAATGCCTGATGTCTGGACTCGACAGACTCTCTGGTCCGGTGGAAAGCAGAAGGGAAGATGGCGGTGTGGCTCAGAGTTCCCATCTCACTAAGCCGATGCGCAGCTGCAGCATCAGCTCACGGTTTCACCTTCCATCACGCTAAAAGTGACCACGCTGTGCTGGCTCTGTGGATGGGGGAAGGAGAGAGCAGACTGCCCGGGTTTGCTACTCATCAGGTTGGCGTGGCAGGTAGGAATTTATGCTTAATACTCTTTTATTTTAAGGGGGATAAATTCATATCTTTTGTAATAATGTTTTATCTCTGAAATAATGTTTACTAGAAAGTCTTACATCGTTTTTAGATTGAAATATTTTCTAATAACTTTTTTAAACCATAGAGAAATCATACAATCTTTCCAAAAAAGAAAAGCAGATATTTTTTTCGTATTTATTATGTCGTACCTTTAATAAAAGTAATTTTTGGTTCATAGGTTCTACTTAACTGGGATATCTCATTTTTTAGTTCATAATTTCAGCATCCAGGAAAAAAAAAACACATTATGACTGATGGTTGGTAGTTATGTGATCCTCCAGCAGAGGGCAGAGTGGCTTTAATGTCTGTACTAAAGGGTAGATAAAAAAAGCATGTCAGAACATGTCCACAGCAACATCTTTGATAGAAATCCCTGTTTTTGCCAAAATTCCTTCCAAAATTTTAATTTAAAAGTTAATTATGAAACAAAACACAAATCTTCCAGCATGTGTTCTTCCTTCAGTTTAATTCAGTATAATTAATAAAATGCAATCATATCCAGTTATTTTCAGTTTCAGTCCAAGCAAAAAAAAAAAATAATTTTTAAACATTTAAGGCTTGTTGTTAAAGTCATCAAGCCACTGACTTTACAGCAATCTTGTGATGCTTGAGATGACTTTGGAATGAAACGTCGCTCATTTGGTCAAATCAGACCTGAAAAAAACAAAAAAACAAAAAACAGAACCACTATAAATAGTTAACTGTCTCTGGAGATAATGAAAAGAGTTCAAGAAAAAAAACAAAAACGATTTAATTAGCAGATTAGTAAAAGAAAGCGAGTGCAACGTTAATTCCAGCATAACCCTTTCTATCAGCTGCAGTGCTGAATGTAGTTCAAACTGCTTCGGGCTTTGTGAGCTTCATAGGTGCAATATTTACTGTTTCTGCCCAGAAAAGAAGCACAACCAAACAAACACACACAGTGCCCAGAGTTATTTTATAGGCAAGAAAATATAGAAGGCAACAGATTTAATAACAGCAATATCCTGCATATTTCCGGTTAAAGAAGGAAGGACTGCACCAGTTCTTTGTTCCATCACAAAGAATAACTAAGGAATCAGAGAGAGGCGACCGGGCCTGAGGCAGCTGCTGCTGGGGATTCCCAGTGACAGCACACTGTGGGGTATGTGGGCTTCTTTGCGCCTCTGACAGAGAAAAGATATTTGGAGGCAGGATTGTAATCTTGATGAACTGGCTGCACAGATGATGTTTCAGGTGGACTTTCTTGCATAAAAATATATTAAAACATAATTTTACCCACTTATAACATAAGCATCAGTTGCATCTGGACACACTTTACCGGATGCGCTTCAGGAGCGTCAAAGATGCTCTTGAGGCACGTCTGACCTTAATGTGGACAAGCTTCAAAAATGAAGCTGCAGACGTTTTTTTTTTGTGAACGTAGCATTACACTTTCTGATTGTTTGAATTAACCCGTCCTGATCTCATGTCTCATGTCCTACTGATGAGATTTCCACCTCTAGTCAAGCTCACATGATACCAGGGTGTATACCGTATGAAATATTCCTAGCTAAAAGCAACGACCTCTACCTCACAATTCCTGATTGGGAGGTGGTCGTGAGAGGCTGATCGCCCCTCGTTACCTCCTGTACACTACACAAGGCATGATCAGGCTGAAGGTCAGCCCGATCAGAAAATTCTCGCACGACTGGAAAGTCGCCCCGAAAAAGGCAAAAAATCGCACAGTGTACGCCCGGCTTAAACAAGTAATAACAGTACGTACTATTCGTGCCAATGTCGTATCAGGTCAATATCAGTATCTGTCACACAAAGCTGCAATATCGGTATTGCATTAAGAATAAAAGCTTTTTTTTTCAGGAAACATACAAACAGGAAATAATCAAGAGAGGTGTTAAATATTGTAAAACTGACTTCATCACACAGAAAAGTCATCAGACCTTTCAGCCTTGATTCAGTTTTAACTAAAAGTAGAGTCTATTTTCTTTATTCTACAGGGCTTTCTCCCCTGATGTAACTCTTGAGGTTTGCTTAATAATAACCTCCCTGAACAGAAACTAGGCCTCTTCCTGCATCATACGTTTCAAGTAGCGAGGATGACATCAGTTTCCACCTCCAAGTCCAAGTCAAGCTTTTAGGACAACCAATCCATCCTGACACACGAGTGACATTCATTCATAGCGGCCCGTCCTGCTCACTCAGACCGAGTCACCGGAAAAGAAAGTGGCCCGTTTTCCTTCCTCCTCCTCCTCCTCCTCCTTCTTCGTTCTGAGCTGTCATCAGCAGCACATAGGTGCTTTTCTTAGTCACTACCTGCAGGGGGGAAAAAACGAAATAAACAGAAGAAAATATGTTGAACATTAAAGTGGGATGATGACATCATCTTCAAGTACAGTTGAGTCACGAATTGTTGAGCTCTGAAAATATTAAGAGGTTTTTCCCAGTATTTTCCACAAATTACATGTCTATGTGTGTCATCTTAAATGCACTACAACCTTTAACCTTTAACGCACTCAGAATTTTATGGACAGGATCCGATATTCACCGTCTTGGATGAAAACGTTCCCACATTCCTTATTGAGGCACCAATAAAATATAGAAAAGGCTGTTATCCTAATTAACATTATTTCTATTTCCTTCTCAAGGTGCAGTTGTTGATGAGTCCACTGGAAAGGTTCTGGTTGTACAAGACAAAAACAAGGTAAACAGTCTAGTGGCTCAAACTTTATTACTTTAAGTTCATTTTTATTCTTTTAAGATTCAGTTATATGAGCAGCTCAAAGCCTACAGACACCTTTGGACAATTTAATCTGTTTTTCAGGCGTTAAAGGTTTGTTTGAGGGGAAGAATCAGGATTTCGCTCCCTGATTTCCAGTTTTTTGTCTAAATCTTACCTCCTGATTTCAGTTTCAGTTTACCAAAGAGAAAAAAAACAGATTTAAGTTATTTAAGTTTGAATCCAACTGAAGATTTAAGGAACTGATTCCCATGTATGCATAAAACTATTTCAAATGTATAAACTGAAAATGGTGGAGTTTTTTATTTTTATGTATTTAATGAACAGAAAAAATGTATAAATTGACCATATGTTTACGGATTTGGAGAAAAAAGGACCAATTCTGATCTCCAGAAGATAGACTATGTTATAAATAGCAATACTACAAAGCCTATAAGGATTCCACTAAATAACTTGGACATTATATGGATTCAGTCCAGCAGGACAGAGGAGCATTAATATCTTTTTTCCAGGCAAAAGTGTAAAAGCAGTGCCTTATATATTAGGCCTCGAGGTAATTAGTGAAAATAATGAGCCAGAAAACCATAAATATCCTGTCGCCGCTAAAAACGCAGATGATTAGTCTTCTTATTTACAGACATGCACTGCTTCTGTTTATCCAAACTGAGTTTGGACGTCCTCCCAGACATTCGCCTCCTTTGCTCCAAGCAGCAAAATTGCTTCACACAGCTGCTCTCCTGCTTCGATTCAATGGGCGTCTTTCAAAGTCGTTTCTGCACACCTAACGTGTGCGTTTCCAGTTGCACCGATAAGACTCACTGCAAAAGGCTGCTTCTGTTCTTAAAATGTGTATCTTTAGGAATATTCATCGTGAAGTAAAGGAGGATTCCAGTAAAAGCTCCAGACGCGCTCATACCTGGGGGCAGTTTTAGATAAACCCAATATGCAGGTTTTAGGTCCACAAATATTTACGATAAAAGTAATAAATAGCTTATAGATATGTTATTAACTAGTCCATAAAAAATGTTTATTATGTAATCAGCATCTTATGCATGCTAAAACAAGTTGTGTTAGCAAATGCTTGTTGTTCTTAGAGTGTTTTCTAAAATATTAATGAGATATAGATTAGAATCACAACAGAATAGGATCATCGTTTTGCAAAAATAAATGCATATCTGTAAGCTATTTGTAAGGAGAGGCTTATTGTAAATTGGTACCATTTTACAAACCACAGATTCCCTCTCCAGTGATTGGTCAATGTCTCAGCCAATCCAGGCTCTCCCTCTTTCTACTTTGACAACATCAGGGTAATCAGGCGCTAATTTGGAAAGTTTAGCTGCACCAGTGATACTTTAATAAAACTCATTTTTTATGTTGCGATAGAAAAAAGAAAAAGCAGACGTTTAACAATCAGATTCTTGTCATTCTAAAGCATTTTTTACGTGAACCATGGGGACATATTGGGCAATAAAATCAAACATATAAACCAGTGTTACTAATTTGCAGATCAGTAATCACAGTATTATTAGTGACTGGCTTGTAGGTGCAGCTAAAGTTTAAATCTATATCAACAATATAGCTGTAAGTCTCCTTAGGATTGAACCTTCTTGTTTATGCTTCAATGCAAACGCTTGTACCAGTAGTCTGAGTATCTATCCATACCAGTGGCGGGCGGTTAATATGGTATTGAATCCTTCAGTGGGCACCCCTTAAATTATTCTACATCTTATCCCCAATTTGCAACTATGGGTGTCAAGGAGATAATATCACTACTTTCAGTTTTTATAAAACAAACCAGCAATAGTATTTAAATATGAAATGTAACAAGTGCAGATATAACAGCGAGGAGGATTAGTGTGAGGGTAAATATAAAGATTAATTAGGCAAGAAGCCCAATTAAGACAACCGCAAACCTCTACTCTATAACCGCAGCTCCGCCATATTCATATCCTCAGTAGCTGTTTGGATTCAATATGCATCTAATTACCAGATAAAAAATTGCATGAAAATAAAATATATCCCACTCACCAGGGATGCTGATTATTGT